CGTTGTCAGCAGTAACGTGGAGGGTCTCGTCTTGTCCCGGATTTGAGTGACAGCTCTGTTCCTTCGCGCGGTGCAGACTAGCTGAGTCTCAGTGTGGGAGACTTCTCCAGCTGGGAAAAGTTGGAAAAGCAAATGGCATGTTGGTGCCACGCTGCCATGGAGGAGCAGGCAGGCTTGGGGGACCTCCTCTCCCTTGCCACGAGGACCTGGCAGAAGCCCAGCTGGGGAGCGGGGAGGGATCCTGGTAGGCTTGAGATCTGCTGTGCACGGGTAGAGGAGATTCAGAGGGTTTTGCTACCCAACAGTCACATAGCTTTAGGTTTGCAGCGAGTGAAATGTTTGGTTTTCTTGCATTTTCTGTGATCTCTAGATAAGAGTTTCCTTGGCTGAAGTTACCTGAGCATGTTGGGCGCTCAGCAAGCTGAGCTGTGAATGTGGATGCTACAGATGTGAAAGATGTTCCTGCTCAGTAACAGATCATTTATTAAAATAGTCCATGGAGGGGCTGTGCTCTGGCAGGTCCTATCACACTCCCTAAGGCTTCCCCCATACTCGCTTCTCTTCTCTTGGACCACGTGTCATTGCATTTACCTTTAAGAGGTTACAGTTTTCATGCTTTCTTGGGAACTCAGCAGTGCAGACAGAAGATCTTCATTAAATACAAGCCTTATTAAAGATACAGCCCCTAGCCCTGATAAAACAGCGGTCCTTATTCTTCCGAGTTGGGTCTGTGGATCCCTTCTGTCCTCTCAAGGTCTCATTTACCTCCCTTCAGGTCTGATGCTGCCATTACACAATTAAGATTGAACTAGTCAGTGGGAACCTTTAGTTTTGATTTTCTGGACACAAACAAGTATATTAAGAAAGCTGTAAGGCAAGCTTTGCATCTATTAATGGCTTTCCGTTATACCTGCTTGGTCAGAAGTGCATAGAATTTACCCGTCCTTCAGATCTGTTTCTATAAACAACCACTCTATTACCTTTTAAACACTGTTACTTGCTTGTGATTTATGTCATTATATTTGTTTCAAAACCTCCAGTTTTGACATTTTGTTCAGAGGAGGAATAAACAATCTAGCTGGTTGCCGTGAAAATTAGTTTAGACTAAAATATATGCTGTGACTCAGTCTGCTAAATGACCTTACGCACTACCCATTGTAATCCAAAATTGCCAGGCAAGTAGAGTAATTAGTTGTGCAGAATGAAGTAACTTTAAATCCTTGCATTGAGTAATGACCCAGAAAAATCACTTAAGCTGTACAATAGAAAAGACTCGAAGCATCTGGCTTTATTTTTACTTTTGTTGCTCTGCCCTCTTTGATTAAGAAGCAGGCTTTCCCCCTCATCCCTTTAGAAACCCCAGCTCTCTGTTGCTGCCCAGAACAAATGTTCATGGCTTACTTGCCGCTACCCTAAGAAATCCTAACTTCTCATAAAACGGCAGGGTAGGTCTAACAGCACCGGCACGGCAGTCGTTCTCCATATGTTTGACAAACCAGCAACTCGTATCTATTTAAAGAGCTGCTTCGCATCATGTGAGATGAGCCCGAGTGAGAAAAACCTTCACCCAGCTCCACAAACTCCGCCGGGCAGCGGGACCGGAGGGGAACCTGCAGGAGCCGCTGACGTACCAGTGCCTGTGGCAAATAGCTTAGCTCTCCTTTGGCTCCGCCGAAATGCGCTGGTTTAATTAGTGAGGTTTTTTGCAGCATTTATCAAAACTATTCTGAATAGGTCAGCCCTCATAGCAGCTCTCCTACCAGCCTGAGAAAATAAGTCACCTCTACAGCAGGGCAGAGCTGAGCCGGAAAGCTCCTCGGGGAGCCAGGGACGTGGGTGCTGAAGCCTTCAGCCGGGCTTGTGTCCTGCAGATTTGGGCCAGACCTTTAAAACATCAGGTGTGAGCTATGGTGAAAAGTAAAATACTGCCCTTGTGGGAGTACTGCCGTGAATTAAGGTACGAAACCCTCGAGTTTGTTTATGAGGTGGGTAGCAAAGTGTCAGATGAAGTTACATGAGATCTGGCAAGGAGATCAGATTTATCCTCTGCCACCTGACGGCAAAAAAGGGGTCTCGTAGCCATTGTGTTCTCAGGTCTAATCTGGTAAACACCAGCCTGCCACCAAAGGGAGGAGACAGAGTGTTTTCAATAAGAAAATGAGCCATTTGCAATGCGCTTTTAATTGGATCAATTTTTCCTTTATTACACCATCTTTAAAAACCAAACACATACGTATAACCAGACAAGCTCTTTCTCCAGGTAGAGAGCAGAAGCCAAACTGTTTCATCACAGTCCTTAATTACTGCATTTCATTTCGTTTGGCACACGATCACAACATTGTGTGGGGGCACCACAGCAAGAAGTATAGCTCTGCAAAATCATCTCACAGTCACCGTTGAGTTTTGTCAGGGCACGTGTGGACCCTGGGCAAGGGAGAGCAGGTTTTATTATTTTTTATTTTTATTTTTCCCCTTTTCTCCCTGAAACCCAAGACTGGAAGAGCTGCAGGCGACACACACCCCCAGGCACCGATCACAGTGTCCTGGCCCACCAGTGCATCGCAAGGGTAGTGTTATTTTTCTTGAATCTCTGAGTGAGAAACAGATGACAGACGCTTTGTTTGAACTGTGGAACCAGGAACAGGCTGGAGTAACCAACTGCTCAGTTTACTGGACCAGTTTTTATGTCCCTTCAAGCACTCCAGGAAATGTTATTGCTAGTAGTGTGATGTTTATTGCAAAAAAAAAAAATAATCCATTGGAACAGAAAACGACAGAGGTACACATTATCATAGATAATATTGCTTCAGTTATTCAGGTCCACAGTAGCTTCCTGCTTGTAGCAGTTCTTAGAAACAGGAGAAATGTTTAAAAGAGATCAGTAGGAGAGGAACTGCTATTACCATAAAACTGGAAAAAAACCCCGCCTTGAGTTACAATGTAATAACTGCAGAAAGGCCCCTAATAGTCATCATCTCCCAAAAACATACATGCAAGATGAGATTGCCTTCCCAGATTGCTGTTACGTACCTCAGGCAACTGCTTCCTCCCACCCGAAAAAAAAGAGAGGCAGAGAATGTAAATAATTAGGTGCAAGTCGGTAACGTGGCGCGGAGGAGCTCAGGAGGAAGAGGAGGTTCAGTGCCCTTGGGCTCCCTCAGCACCATGTCAGTATCTTTGCTCCTGCCCCACAAGCTTCTTCCAGTGAATTAAAGCAAGAGGAAGAGGAAGCTGCCCTGAGGGAGAGGCACCTCCATCACACAGCTGGGTGTTTGTGGTGCTTTGGCTGAGCAGAACTGGGAAAGGGGGGGAAAAAAACCCAAACCAAAATCCCACCAAAATGTGCTCCCAGTGCTTCCTCTGCAAACCCTGGAACTGCCAAACAACTGGCTGGAGCAGCAGCAGCTCCAAAGCCTATTTTGCTTTGCTGTTTCACTTGGGGAAAGTACATGGGAGCTTAAAAAACATCACCTGTTGCATACATGTTGTAGCACAAGTAGCAAACAATTTGCTGTAGCGTGGCAGCCACCATAAAATCAGCTTTTATATTGTCTGTCGTGCCCCCAAATTTGCAACTACATTGTTGATAGCAACAAATAAATGCACTGCAGTGTAACTATTATCTGTGGCAGATTAACATGCTACCACTGTGCCCTATTTAAATGCATCTTTCCTTCAATAAGCTATTCTAGGCGAGCAGCACCACACTGAGGTACACATTTATCAGCCAGGAGAGTAGCACTGTGGGGGCCTTGGTTCACACAGCTGCAGTTTTGTGCTTCATTTGGCCCAAAGCCGTGATGAACATGAACTCTGGTGCCTGCTGGTGCCTTAAGTTAAAAAAAAAAAAATAAAAAAAATCTGAGGAATGTGCTGCTTTGCTGTGCAACGGAAAAAAAAAAGCAATACACCAATGGAGGTGCTTCCAAGTGTTAAAAAAATAAGTGAAACACTCCCCCCCCCGCCCTCTCAGCAATGAGGAGCTTGCACTTAGGAAGTGCAGGAGAGTGGAAACCTATTGTTAAATGCAGTGGTCTGGAATGCAGAACAGTGAGGTGCAGGTGAACACACAATATTTGCATTTAATCCCATTTACTACCCAGTCTTGTTCCCCCAGGCCCCCCCACCTCCCCACAAAGCTTTAGACACCAGACATACCTTCCAAAGACAGTTTCCAGGACACATTTAATTATAGATCAACAGTAAGTATCAGTTGTAGGTTTCCCTATTTTTTTATTTCTTCCAGCCCCCTCCCTTTTTACCCCCTTCTCCCTAGCAGAACTCTCAGTAGTAGCAAAAGCCCTGTTGCCGTCTGAAGGCAGGTTTCTGGCTCAGCTCGGTTTCCCACCATTGCACAGCACTCACTTCACATTGAACAGACACGGTTCACAAATGGCACGACGGGGGCGATCTCCTGAACACCAGAAAAATGGGAGAAAACCCTCCCTTGTCAGTCTGAGAGTAAAGCTCCTTCTCCGCGCAGTTTAAGAGGGCTATTTCATTTTATGCAGTGCTGCAATCAGAAATCGCTCTCTCCAGTAGTTGCCCAGACAACTGCTACCCAGTTCCTTGCAAGAACCAGAGAGAGAAGAGGATTGCCTCTCCAGTCCTCGAAGGGAAGGTGATTTAGAGCACTCAGTCAGTGTTTATGGCACAAAGAAAGATACAATGGTTGACACTGGAAGTGTAGGACCCGTGGCGAAAGGAGGTGAGGTTTATGGATCGACCAGTCATTTAGCAAGGAACCAGCACTCCAGAAGGATGGCTCCTTTCCTTTGGGCTTGTTCTTTTTTATTATATGGATTTTATATAAAAAGAAAGCAGACCACCACCACATAAGCTATTTTGTTTCTAAACACAAAATGCGACGGCCTCCATGCCAACCCCCCTTTGGTTATGGCGCAACCTTCCTGCGACTGCTTGAGGCCGGTTCCCGTCAGGTTGCGATGGGGCTGGAAGGATCTCTGCTGCCCAAAGGGGCTTTACTTAGAGACATGCCTTTAGGGGGTGGAATATCTTCTCAGGTGGTAACTGTAGATCTTAATGCAGTGATCCCAACAGTCCAGCACCAGCAGCTGCCCTTTGGGCGTAATGGCGATACCCACGGGACAGGTGAGTCCTTCCCGGATTAAGATATTGTAGCCACCTCCTTTAGGGAAATGCAGGATTTCTTTACGGCTGCTGTCAGCAACTATGAGGTCTCCCCTGGCATCGACGCACATCCCAGCAATGCACCTGAAATCCTCGTTCTCGGAGAAGAAGTGGCTGATCTGGCGTCCCAGCTGCCCATCCGGGCCAACGGAGCCAATGGAAAAGCCTCCTTCTAAATGGTGCTCGTACTGCCGGTTCTCCAGGTTAAGCCCCAACCCTTGAGTAAAGTAGATGGTCCCTTCGGCGTCGCAGGTGACAAACTTCGGGCGCACTGCGCTACATAAGCAACTGTACTTCACCACCCCCACGCCACGGTCCACTGTGAAACACCAGAGTTTCCCTCCTTCCACGTCAGTCACTACGAACTGCCCCGAAGGCAGAGCGGCGATGCCCCAGGGCTTGCTCAGCTGGCTCCGGTGACAGGCCACGCAGTGACCATCCATGGTGTAGACCTTGACAGAGTTATCGTAGCTGTCGGTCACACCTATCAGGCCATGGCAGTTCATGGTGACAGAAAGGGGAGTCAAGTTGGGCAAGTCCGCTCCCAGGAAACTCAATACGAAACTATCGATTCCGCTGGGGCTCCGGCGAATCTCCTTCAGAAAGCCCTTGCGGGTGAAAACCTGGATTCGGAAGTTACCTCGGTCTGCCACAAGCACCTCGCCTTGCAGGGTGACGTGGAGGCTGACGGGGAGATTGAACATCCCCGGCAGGCTGCCCTTGGAGCCCATCTTCCTGATGAAGTGACACTGCTGGATGCTCGTGGCTGCTTCAGGCATCCGTGGCTTGGCTGGCGAGGAATTGGGCGTGCAGCCACCTTCCTCCTGCACCAGGTCAGGCTCCCTAAACGACGCCGATGAGGATGCTGCGGTTTCCATGAACGATTCCTCCATGTTAACGGTCCGAGGCTTCTTCACCACCTGCCCGATCTGCAGTGGCCCCACGTGGCTCACCTTAAGGAGTTCGACCTCTTCAAGAGTCAGCTCCTTCGGGAGGTTGTTTGTCAGTTCTGGTTCTTCCTCGTCTGCTGCCTCCTCCAGGAGAGCTATATCTCCCTGCTTTATTTTGGCAAGGAAATAGTCACAGCGAGACATGATCTGCACTTCTGCTAAGTTCAGCAGATAAGCTTGCTCCTCCATTACCTGATTATTTACCTTCTCCACTTCAGACAAAGAAGTGGTGAAGAACTTGCGGGACCTGGCCAGTTCTTCCTGGATCTTGCGCTCTTCTTTGCTGTAATCTTGCAGAACTGCTTTGTACCTAGATTGCAGGTCTCTCGAAACACCCTCCAGAGCTGCTTTTCTTTTCTGCAGATCACCCATGAGCTCCCGAAGTCTGGCAAGCCTCGTCCCAAATTCCCTCCTACGCTCTTCAGCAGCCTCTTTAATAGCAATGACTCTGTGCCCTTGGGGCATGTGTGATGCCTCCTTGCAGGGCTCACATAAAACCAAGCTACAGTTCTTGCAAAAGTGTCTTGGCAACCTTCTGCCACAGACCTTGCACATGAGAAGACCCACCACTTCCCCCAGTCCGGCGGTGTCTATGATCTTCAGCACAGTAAGGTTGTCAGTGAGCTGAGCTAAGCTTGTGATCCGCGTGATTTTGCTGCAGAAGGGGCACCGTATCCCATTAATGCTGTTTGCCAGGAGTTTCTCCAAGCACTGTTTGCAGATGGTGTGCCCGCAGTGTAAAAGCTTGGGCCTCAGGTGCTCCTCAGTGAAGGACTCCATGCAAATGGGGCACTCCAGGACCTCTCGGAGGGCATCCGAGTTGAGATGAGGGGCGGCAGCCATGGCTTTCCGAGGCAGCTTTAACCGGTGCAAAGGCTGGTACTCACATCTATCCCAAGGTGCTCCAGTTCTGTCCAGAAAGAAAAAAGGAAATGTGATTTATGTCAGCAGCAGCAGTTACATATACATGCAATTTATTGCTGATTTATCACCCAGTCCTGGAAAAAAGGAGCCCAGTTAGCTCTTCCACATGTGGAAAGGATGGGTTAGTCATTGCTAATCTCAGAGCGGGCAAAGTCCAAAACTAACTTGCAGCTCCTAGTGCGATGAATTACTCACTTGCAAAATTTGTAAGTAAAACTAAAATAAGTATAATGGCACAATAAGGAAGACCAATAGATATTGATGACTGAATCATCTCCCCATGGTGCCCATCTCCTGCTGCCAAGCCTCCAAGTTTACATAATTTACTGAAAGCCAGGGAGATTAAACCAAGCATTCAAAATGTTGCGCATCAAAAGAGGAACCAGATGGTGCAATACTTTAGGACATTAATATATCACCTCTCGAGACCTGCGTTCAGACGTGACATCAGATACGAACGAAATAAATGTGGCTGGTTTACTCTGCTTTTCTAGATAGCCAAAATAAATTCTCAAGGTTTCATACGTTTGCCAGAAAGTGAAACCAGAAGGAATGATCTGTCAGCTTCCACTCATTCTGGGAATGACTGTGCCTACTGAAAACACACAGTGAAGACTTCACACCAGTGTATTTCATTAACCTCTGCGATGCTGCATCACGCTTCAGCGTGTAAATTAAAACCCAGCTCCACGCAGCAGTGTTCTAGCAGGTATTAGCAACAGTGGAGTTAACAGACAACTCCAACCATCCGTTAACAGACACTGCAAGTGTTCACCATTAGTTCTTGAACTTAGCTTAATTGCATATCATTTCTCCTTATTTTACAGTCTTGCAGCATTGACCTCGTTCTTGCATTCTGGTTCAGTTTTATATTGCTCTGGCTGCCATTCAGCTTCAATCCAGGTTTCTCCATCCTCACATCCCTCCCAGCAGGGAGCAGATCCCAGCAGCTCTCCTGCTAAAGCAGCCATCCATTCAAAAGGAACAGAACAGGGTTCACACCATTAAGTTATTATTCAGTAGACTGGGTTTCAATACCTTTGCTCCTGCACTGCTTAGCCCTTAAAGGAAATGAGGAAGAAAACATTTCTTCTAGGGGGAGAGGAGGAGAAGGAAGTAGTTAGTCTTTAAAATGAAGAAACAGTCACTGAGGGATGGGAAGGGACAGCTTTTTCTGAGTAATGGCTGCACATACGCAGCGCCCTCGCTCCCCTGCTGGCTCTGCCCGCTTCCTCCTCGCGAGCATTTCAGACCGAAAGGTTCCCTGTATTTCAGTTCAGCGTTTGATCAAGTGGAAGAAGACAACCGCCATGAAGAAGAGTTCTTTGTGTGCGTACAAAGGAGAAAAAAAAAAAAAAGGATAATCTTAATTTATCAGCTGTAGTTCACAACAAAGCCTACATTTCAGGAAAGGATTCGGTGGTGCAGCAGAAACTCTGCCAAGGTGGGGTCTGGCCCTTGGCTGGAGGGTGGCATGAGGGTGTCACAACCCTGGGGGGCAGAGGCAGTCCAGGCACTTGCTGCCAACGGCACCGAGCACGCTGCCCTTCGTTCTCAGCGCGGGGAAGCAGAAGCCTGGGCACTTCCAGGTAAATCAGAAACCTTCCTCTTAGGGATGAAAAAAGTGTATTTAAAAGCGATTTTTTAAAATGAAACACAGGATGCCAGATCCGTTATTCTTATTTTCCTTGGCAATACATCAAAAGACTTGCTCAGGGAAGCAGCGCAGACACCAGATACTGAAGGTTACATAAAAAGCTACCTTTACAACAAGTATCTTCATTAAAGAGCACTGGCGGAGCGGGTTTTGTCTGTCTTAGGTTTTTAGAAAGATGATTTGCATGACATTCGTTTCATGCATAACCCCCTTTTATCAGAACGCCAGCACACACACCTTAGTAACATAGAATTATTTTTAATGCTGCATTTTCATCTTTTATCTCGGACTCAGCCGTGCCTTCATGGAAGTTTTAACTGCTGGGTTGTTTCCTCAGTCCCTCCCAGGGCAGCCCCTCTGGCGCAGAGCAGGGCACCAGAGA